TGCCCTGCCATAAATTGCTCTACGGGAATGTCCAGTGGAGGCGGGTTGGACCACCCGTGGGTGCTGCTGCTCCGTGTCCCTCGGCTCAGGGATGACTGGAAGAGGTTCCTCGTGGAGAACCACTCTGCCCAAGCTAGGCTGGCATCCTCCATCGGCTCTTCCATGCCATCCCAAGGATGCTGGGATGCTCCTGGGTTTGCTGCTGCTCCAGGACCATCGTGGGATGCAGCCCATGATGGGGAGGGATGCTCGGAGGTGGGATACAGGAGTCCCAGGGGATGGAAGGTGCAGGGGTGAAACAAGGCAGTGCCAAAGGAGGACTCCGGACACGACACCTGAAATTAGATCCACAAATCCATGGAGAGATTTCTCCTCCTTTTCAGAATTTAGCTGTTTGGTTTTTTTTTTTAATTGTAAATCAGAATGACCCGAAATCACAAAGCTGTGTCCATGTAGGACTGAGCAGGGAGCTGGCTCCCTTCCCTTCGTTATTTGCAGGTTTAAAAATCTATAAATGTGCTGCAGTTTGGTTCTCCTCTTTAATCCCGGGTCTGTGAAGGAGGCTTTAACCTGAGCTCACGCCGTTGGAATTCCCTGCTGCGCCTGGGAGAGGCTCCTCGCCTCCAATCGCTTCCAGATGCCGTTCCTGCTCCGGCTCTTCCCCTTTGCAAAATGTCTCCCCCAGCCCGACCAAGTTTTCCCGGCTGGATTCAACATCCCGATATCCGGCCGGGCTGAGTCAGCCGAGCCTTAATGTTTTAAGCAGAGGCCGATGCCAGCGGCAGGGGGTTGGGACTCGCCCCGTGGCCTTGCCCGAGGAGCCCTGGGGTGGATCCCCCGGCAGGGTTTGAGCCTCTTGCGACATCGGGTGGTTTTTTAATTTCTTTTAAAATACAGATGCGTGAGCTGGGATGGAGTTCAGAGTCTCTCTGCCTGCGTTGTCAATGGGCAGAGCTTCCCTGAGCCCCAAGTGGAGGGAAACTGAGACAGGAGGGTGCTGAGCGAGAGTGGAGGAGGCTTAAACGCTGCTCTGGGGCTTTGCCGATGCTGTGTGCACACTGCCAGCCCAGCATTCCCACAGGGGATACTGAAACACCCCTGGATGTGGATTAAATCCCCATCCTGGCAGCTCTGTGGCTGTTGGGCTCGTCCAACCCCCTGGCATGGGGTTTGTGGGGTGGGATTTTATAGCATGAGGATGGATCAGACCTGTCTGGGTTGGGAATGGAGGAGAGTTCCGAAGCATCGAGAGGAAAAATAAGGTAGAAAGTGAGAAATAAGGGAGAAAAATGCAGAGAGGAGGGATGCAGGTGGATTGGGAGGATGCAGGACTGCACAGGAGCAGGGTGTGGGAAGGGGGATGGTGCCAGAAATGAAAGGGAGAGAGGGGCTTTAGGGGTTAAACGCGGCGCTGCCTCCGAACAAGGAGTCAGGAGCGGTGCCAAGGGCTGGGAAGTCCTCGGGCCCATCCCTGTGCGATCACCAGCGGCCGCTTCCAAACGGAAAAAGAGAAGGGAAAAAAAAAATCACAAAGAACTGTCTGTTCAGGCACATTCGGGCTCAACAGGTTTTGCTCCCGGGCGGGGTCCGGTGTTTGGGGTGGGGGAGCCGAGAGCCCGGCTGTCAGAGCCGGCTCTTTATGCAACTGAACATGTGATTTGTCCTCAGAAATCTTACCCCGGGCTCTTTTCCCACTGCCTTTTTTCTCGGAGGGGGGTGATGGCAGCCCTCGAGGGCGGGAAGGGCCGGGCAGCTCCTGCTGAAGGGCTGGAGGAGCTGGGGGGGATTGTTCAGCTAAAATATGGGTGAACACAAGGTTTTGGTGGTCACACCACGGCACCTGCCCCAACAGCTGGTCCCACTGCCAAAGCCCTGCATCCCCCAGCACGTTCAGCTTCTTCAGCATCCTCGTGGTCCATCAGCATCCACCGTGGAGCTGGGGCTTCCCAGGCCCCTTTGCTGCCTAATTAACAACGTCGCTGCTTAATTCCCCCTGCATTTACAAGTTAAATCGACAGATTATCTGTATTATGCAAACGCAGCTTTAAATCTTAATTATTTATTTGCATGGGGTGTCTGGAAATCAGCAGCTTTAAGCCTGGTGATGCTGTTCTCTTGGAAGTACAGACTTTTGCTAGGAAATAAACCCAAAATAGGCTTTCTTTTTTTTTTTTTTTTTTTTGGTCTGGTGGGTGATGCTCAACACCCCAGATTGGAAACATGTCTATTTTTTCCTTTTATCTTTTTTTGGTGGGGGGTTCATTGTGGGAGGCTCATCCTTAAATAGCAGTGGTTTATTTTTAGGTCGGTCGCTGCTTTGGATAATCCGGCTTGGCTGGGCAGCTTTGCCTTGCTTTTCTTCCTATTCCCAGGGATTTGATAGGATATAGGTCTATTAAATTATTTTTTATTTTTAATAAAGTAGTTTAATAAATTCAGTGAATTATTAACAGAATTGAAAAGCTACAATTGAGGTGGAGGTTCTGCTGGTGGCAGCTCTTCCGTTCTCTCCTGGCCAGGGAGCATCCGCTGGGATGACCATTAGGGAAACCTCTTCCCAAAAATCGCATCCCACACTGGAATTACACCTTTGGCTCGGCCAAAGGATGGTTGGGAAGCGGCTGGATTATCTCCCACTAAATGCTTGCTGAGTGAATAAGCTGCTGGTCCCGGGGCAACAGCGATCGGGGTGACGTGAGGGATGTGCCGGGCTTGGAAACACCTCGCTCATGCCAAGTGGAGACGTTTTCTCTGGAGGAGGATGAGCTCACCTGGCTTTTATTCCCCTCCCAGCCCGGTTTTGCTCTCTCCCCCCTCGGGAGGTAATTTTAACCGAGGGAGGTTGGTGCTGGCGATGGAGCTCCGACGGACGGACGGACGGACGGCTGCCTCGCTTCAGGTCTGGCGGGTGGAAGGGGCACAGACTCTGTCTCCATCTCCCCCTCCTCTATTTTAACAGCCCCAGGGGGTTTGCTCCTGGAGGGGGAGGATGATGACAGGAGGGATTTGGTGGCTCATCCCTGCCCTGCTTGTGTCCCCTCCTGCCTGGGGAATACCTGTCTTCCCACAGGGATGCTCCTACACTAGGGCTGAGCCCCTCAAAAATCCTGGCTGGCTTTAATCTTTGACAGGGGAAGAAATGTTTTCATTTTCTTTTGCCCAAAGCCATGAGCATCCCGGAGGGAGATGTCAGGGAGCGGGCACACGGTGCCCTTTCCCCCCTCAAGTTTGGGAATCATCATTTAAACGATTAAACTGATAGGCAGGGCGGGAAATTGAGGCCGACAGCATACCTGGAGAGGGGAAGGAGCGAAATCCAGCTTGTTTAGGGTTTCTCAAGGGCTCTGGGACATTCATTTCCTGCCGGGATCAGCTGCCGGATGGGTTGAGCCGCCCGCGGCGAGTGGCGGAGACGGCGGTTCCTGACCTGTCGGGTGCCGGATCCGTGATGGGATTTTTCTGGACCTTGGGCTGGGAACGGCCGATTGCATTGGCCAATGGCGGGGAGACCACCTGGGAGGCTGGAAAACAATCCCAGGAAGACCAGCAGCGATCCAGCTCCTGGCTCTTCCAGTCGAGCTGGAAAGACCAGCTTGGGGCAAGACCTCAGATCCTCCTGGCCGGGCCGATGTGCTTTAAGGTACCACGGTCTCCTGCTCATGTGGGGCTGCAGATCCTCCTGGGATCCCCCTGCCCACCCCCAGGCAGCTCCGAGCATCCTCATCCAGGAGCTCCCCGGGGAGGGTTTAACCTCGTTAGTGGATCCTACAATTCATGGCTGTAAATCAAAAGGCTCCTTGTTGGCAGCGATGTCGGATGCTCCGGTGGATTCAGGGCTGACTCTGGTGCCAGAAGGTGAATTCTGTGACCCCAAGTGCAGCTGGTTTGGCTGCTGATTGTCCTGAGCCCTCTGGGTTAATCGCTCCCCAAGGCAAACGATGATGGAAGGAGGAAGCAGATGCTCTTTGAGTGGAGAGGGAAGGGGTGATGCCGGGATGGAGCCATCCCTGTCATCCCAGGACATGGACAGAAAGCCTGGTCCCTGCAGAGAAGTATCCAGAAGAAGTGGTTTCCTTCCCCATCTCTTGCATGGGATGTTATTTTAATGGGATATTAAGAGCAAAGCTTGCTGTGGGGAAGGCTTGCACTTCTCATCTCTGCTTTTCCTAGCTGGAGGAGATGAAGAGAGGTAAGGAAACCTCTGGCCCTTCAGAGTTTCCCCTAGGAAGCACCTTCCCTGCCAGGGCTCGAGCAGCAGCTGGGAGTGAGCCTTGTCTTCCTCACCTGTGTCACTGTTTTTTTGTGCTGAACGGGGTTGAGGTTCTTCCTCGTGTGGTTTATCCCAGGGACTAACTGGGATAGTGGTGGGCTTATGTCACCTGGCTCGCCCATTATCCCGCTCCCTCCACCTGGATGGCTCCTTTTCCCCCTCAGCCCACCTTGCCCCTCGGTATCTGGGATAGTTACTCGGGATGTAGAGTGGCTGCCCCTGCAGAGAGGCTTTCTCTGAGCAGCACTGTGGCAGGAGGGTTTCTGTGCGTGGCAGCTTCTCAGCAGGGCTTTTCCTTCCTCTAATCATGAGGATATTACACTGCCAGGTGGGGATGTGCAGTTTGGAAAGTTTTTGGGGAGAAGATGGTGGAGATGTGGGATTAAGCAGTGTTCTCCGTGTGGGAAGGCAGGAGAGCTGCAGAGCAGGGCTGCATCCCCCTTTTTCTGGGATAAAGGGCATCACTCCATCTCCTGGGGCCTTCCTAAAAGTCGGAGTGAGTCAGGGAGGGGGATTTCGGTGGGAAAGGCCAGGAGGTGTTGGGGAAACCTGCGGCGAGGTCTGTGCTCTGCTCTGCTCTGCTCTGCCACGCCTCCTCCTTAAGAGGCACTGCCAGCCCAGCCCCGGTGCTGCCGGTGCCTGCGGAGGTGGGTGGGAGGTGGGTGGCTTTTTGGAGAGCACAGACTCCTCTGTGACGGTGCTGGCTCGTCAAGGCCCTGCTCCTGCTCCTCTAGGGCTGGCTCCCCATCGGTGCTCCGAGCTGCCCTGGCTGGGGATCCAGAAGGATCCGTGGACGCTCCAAAGGCGGATGGCTGCGAAGCGAAGCAGCCCTTGTGTGCTGCCAGTGTGGGTGGCCGTAGCCCTGAGGATGTTCTCCCTTTTCCCTTTCCTAGGGGAAGAGAGGACGGCCCCGTAGATCCCGCCGAGCTCCTGCCTGCTCCGCCTGGACCGAGAGGACGGACCGTAAGTAGCCGTGACCTGCTGCCAGTTTATCCCTGCCCTGACGGGACCAGCGTCAGCCTCTCCCACTGATGGGGAGGCAGGAAAAGGTCTCCCTGAGACAGGAATCCTCCTCCCGGTGTGGGTTAACGGGGGGTGCAAGGTGATGGAGGGAGTTATTTCCTGGAATCTTTCTCCATGATCATTAACGTGGGAAAAAGGAGCAGACAAGACCCCCGGGGGATTCGGGGCTGACAGACGTGAGCTTTGAGCTGTGGGGTTGCTCTGGGGGTTCTCCTCCTCCAAATTTAGTGCAAAACAGGAAGCAGAGGGGAAACCACAGATGGAGGGTTAAGGTGCTAAGTGAGCCTTACAAAGGGGGTGGTGACTGCAGGCAGCTTCTGAGCCCCCAGGAGGGGACTCCCGGAGGCAAAAGCCACTAGGGATGGGAGCAGACCACGGGCTAACTCAGCCCTGGGGCTTGAGAACCCACCCCTTTTCCCTGGTGAGCTGGATTTGGATGGGACTTTGCTTGAGTTTGGGTTGGGGATGGGCTGAAGCATCTCCACGGTTTAGTTTTTCCCTCCCAGGACTGTAAGGGAGCAGGTGCTCCCTGTTGGATGCTCTGCCTGCTGCTCCTGGGGGAGCGGGAAGAGGCTGCCAGCCTCCTGCCTGCACCTTGCCTGCGTCCCCAGCTCGCTGCCTCCCACCTTTCTGCCGCTTTTTGGGGGGGATTTAGCCCAAAATGTGGGGTTCAAATCTGCCAAAGCCAATGCTGCTCTTGCCATTGCCCCCTGCATCCCTGGATGATCCCTGAGGATGGAGATACCGGAGAGTAAACACGGCACTGAGGTGACGGTGGCAGCAGATGGGGACAGGGCGGGGCAGTGAGAGGAGGGGGTGGCTGGGTCAGTGGTGGGGGCTCAGGGATGAGATCCCATCATCTCTGCCGGGGGCCCACCCTCATCTCCTTAGCAGGGGGTTGTTCCCCCCTGAGTGATTCCGCTCACTTCCAGCAGCTCGGCCATAACCTCTGGAGTGCATCCAGCAGGAAAGGGTCTTTATTTTAGTTTTTTAAGTATTAAAGAGTGATTAAACGTATATAATATAAATAATGATATATAACCTATAACACTGTAGCTGAACTCCCCGAGGTGGAGCCCTGTAGCTCCATGGGGTTACCCCAGAGCTGTGGGATGCTCAGGTGTACCCACACAGTCAGTGTTTTGGGGCTGTAGGAAGGCACTTGGGTCCCACCCTGTGTTTTTTCTGCTGCAAGGATTAAAAAATAAATAGGGGGAGAGGAGAGGGTGGAGGCAGCGCTGGCCTGAATCGGGTTTTGGCTCTGGAGCACATTAAAACCAGCAGTGCCACGGGAAGGCAGAAGCAGCCCAGGTTTTTCCTGGGGACCTGCTGCCATGGAAAGACTGGCTGTACCTGAGCTTACTCGCTGTTGCCAGTTTCAGAATTGCAGCCTGGTCACGGGTGAGTGTTTTGTTAAGGCTCACATGCCAGCGAGGGGTTGTTCTCCCCTATCTTAAATCTCTGGCCGGGTTATTGTGTGCCTGGGATACCACGGACGAAGGAAACAGCGCTGCCTCTCCGTGAAGAGGGCAATTAAGATTCCTTTAAAGTGACTCGCAGGGCTCTTAAAATAGGATAAATGTGGGTATCAGTGCACGGGCTGGGCTGGCTCTGTGCCCTCCATGGGGCTGTGCCCGCTGTCCAGCGGGATTGATTTTTGCAGTGCTGTGTCCTCATTATCCTCTGCCTCCCCCCGGCCTGCTGCACTCGCAGCTCCTGCTCTTGCTGTCGCTCTGCCCTGCTGGTTTTTGGCATCCCTTGTCCCTTCCCAGTATCCCTGGTCCCCTTTCAGTGTCCCTGTTTCCCTCCTGGAATCCCCATCCCATGAAGCGTCCCTTGGAGGGGGCTGAAATCCAGACTCTGCTGCCTTTTGGGCTTGTGACGGCGGTTGTTGTAATCCCACAAGGATTTTCTCCCCGCCGTGGGTCTCAGTTTTCCTCCCAGCTTGGAAAAAAAGTTCCCTGAGCACCTGGAGCTCACAGCAGCCGGGGCGAGGAAGGTTTGGGATGCCAGGCTGGGGATTTGGGTGCCTTTGATGATCTGCCAAGCGCAGGCAGTGCCCGGAGTTGGCTGGCTCCTTTCTTTCCCTGCAGGATCGCCCCCGGCCGCCTCCCAGGTTGTGCTCAGGCTCTGGCAGGCGGTGGCTGTGCCGGGGCAGGACTGGGTCGGTGTGGGGGGTACGTCGGCATCTGCCAGGGCTCCTCCGGCAATCCCTGCCCTACTGGGCAGAAATCCCGTGGGATGGGGGCTTGGAAGATCCCAGGGCTGTAAACTGCTTCCCTGGGGGTCGATCCTGGGTGTTGTCCTCAGTGGAATGTGGGATCTGCCCTGCTGGTTCCTGAAAGCTCCATGTGCCTGGAAAGCTCGGGAGAGACGGTCTGGCTGGGGTTGGAGGGGTCTGTGCTGTCCTGTCTGTCTGTCTGTCTGTCTGTCTCCCTCCCTGTGGTTCCCACTGCTGAGAGTGAATGCCCAGGGACTGCTGGTGCATCCCTTCCTCGGGCACAATCCAACAGTCCTCCAGTTAAAAATAAATGCATGTTTTTTTGGGATAAACTGTTGGAGATGCTTGTTCTCCACGGAGCTTCCTGCTCGCCCAGGGAATCTGGACCAGGCAGTGGGTGGCTCTGTGTCCCATGGACACGTGGGATGGGATGGTGGGAGCACAGGAGAGGTGTCCTTGCCTTGTGTCACGCTTTTCCCCAATCCAGGGGTTACCATGGAAACATAAAAGTACTAAGAGCTTTTGCTGCATGGCCTGCTGGTCCACGGTGCTTTGCTGGGATGGCAGTGGGTGCCTGGGATCACCATCCATCCATGTCGGGATGGGCTGGGGGGATTTATAACCACCCCCCACCTTTGTGCTTGTTCCATGGCTTTAAATTCCCTTTAAATTCCTGCTGCCACTCTGTGGATTGGCATGACTTAAATCCAGAAATGCTGGAGCTGTTGAGGTTGAGGGATGGATGGATGGAAGGATGGATGGATGGAAATACAGGGATGAGCTCTTCTGAGGTCCTCTCCCAGCAGGAGGGTCAGCCCCTCAGGGTGTTGCTGGCATCTCCCAGGGGACATGGTAAAAAATTGCCAGGCAAAATCCCTCTCCAGGTTGGAGGGAGACAGGGAAACTCCGTGAGGTTTGGCTGTGAGCTGCCTCTGCAGCATCCCGGGGTGGGGCTTTCCTGGAACACAGGGTGGGGAAGGGCTTTTGAGTCCTTTGTGCAGTGATAATCCCCAGCCCAGGAGCTGTGGGGGTGCCAACATCAAAGAGGGGCTTTTCCAGTCGCTTCTCCCAGGTGTGGGGAGCTGAATCCAGCCTGGACTTTCCCCTCAGCTCCAGGGCTTGGTGGGGCAGGCAATGCCCTGGACCGACGCCGGGGAGCCGTGCTGGATCCCACCCGTGAGAGGGATGAGCTTGGAGTCTCTCCCTGCTGGATTGAGATGCTGTGGTGGGGGGTCTAGAGAGGATGTTGTGATGAGAGGTCTCTGTTGGGGGACCTGGCAGATGCTGGGGGGGCTCCGAGGGCCCTGTGATGGGACAAGGATAGTGCAGGGGCTCCGAGGATACTGTGATGGGACAGGGATACTGTGGGGGCTCTGAGAATGCTGTGGGGGCTCTGAGGATGCTGTGATGGGACAAGGGACACTGTGGGGGTCTCTGAGGATGCTGTGGGGGTCTCTGAGGATGCTGTGATGGGACAGGGATACTGTGGGGGCTCTGAGGATGCTGGGGGGGCTCTGAGGATGCTGTGATGGGACAGGGATGCTGCAGGACCAGGGATATTGCAGGACTGGGGTTGCTGCAAGAGGGCTTCGAGGATGCTGTAAGACCAGAGTTGCCATGGGGAGCTCTGAGAATGCTGTGATGGGACAGGGATACTGTGGGATCTGAGGACACTGCAGGACTGGGAATGCTGTGGGGACCAGCAGGACCCTTCAGCATCGCTGCCCCCAGCAGCCCTCTGAGGAGCCAGAGCGCTGGCTCGGGGTGTTCAGACTTTCCCACTGTTGGCAGCTGCTCTGTTTTGGGCTGTGGATCTGGTAGGGCCGAGCTTGAACTCATTCCAGAGGCACCACGGGCGCGGGGGCAGCTGGGTGTGCTCTGTTTTGCTCCGCATTCCCTGAACGCTTCACCAAACAGTGCTCCTTCACCCCGGGGATTATTAGCCGTGTTTGCCTTAGATAAATTTTGCATCGGGCCCAGCTTGTGCGTACAAGCCTGAGAAAAGATCATAAAGCCTTCAAAAAAAACCCCCAACAAAACAATTAAAAAAAAAGCTGGTATGTAAAGGCAAACACTGCGGGGAGAGCGGATTTTCCCAGTGGGTAGGGGTGAAACGGGCTCGGTGGGGTGTTCTGGCACCCAAGGAGGGAGCTGGGGGGTGAATTTAGTGCTAAATTTGGGTCCTGACGCCCAGCAGCATCCCAGCCCTGGGTGAAGAGGGGTGCTCAGGCCCCCCAGAAGCATCACCAGCCTCCAGCTGTGGGGTGGATTTCCCCCTTGGGGCTTTCATGGCCAGTTTTGGGTAGAACAAAAAACCCCAGGAAGCACAAGCTGCTTTTCACTTGCCCCTAATTTTACTTTTCCCAAGAAATCGTTACGTTCAAAGGGGTGAGACCCCCCAGCTCCTTCTCCCTATGTGCTCCCACCCTTGAAGATCCAGTCATGGGTTTCATCTTTCCAGGCAGGAGGGGCTTGTTGAGCCAGAAATACAGATGCAGGATGAGAGCTGGGGTGTAAATTGGGGATGGGGGGGGTTTTGCTTCCCCTTTCTGGGGACCCCAGGTGATGGTGGGACATGATTATCCATGTTTTACGAAGGAGAAGCATTTCAGGGCAGACAAGTGCTTTCCCAGGGGACCACCTCGCCAGTCCCTGCCTCTGTCCCCATCTCTCTGCTGTCAAATGGACAGTTTTCCTTGCCTGATGTCCCATCCCACTGCTTCTAGCACAGTTTAATTGTCCTTAATTCCCTTTTAATTGCCCTTCCTGCCCTTTTTAATTAATTGCCCTCCTGCCCTTTTAACTTCAGAAGTCCGTGACAAGGAAGGGAAGAGCCTGACTCTCGTGGGACCATCTTGGGTCTCGTTTCTTCTCATTCTTGATACATTTTGGCCCCCAAAACTGCTGCTCTCAACTTCCTCTTGGCCGGGTGAGGCCGTGGCCCTGCCGGGCAGGTGGCAGGTGCCAGGTTCATTAGCGGTGCTTCGTTAAGCAGGAAGGGGTGTGAGGGAGGTGCAGGGAGGGATGTCAGGTGGGTGAGGAGCTGATTTGCCAGCCCGGGTGTGCTCCCTTGCCCTTGGCTGGCGTGTAACACTCCTTCCTCCCTCACACCAGACACATTTCGGAGCAGGGAGGAGCTCAGTTACGGGGTGGCAAAGCCAAGCCCACCTCTGAGCCGGGCTTAGAGCAGAATTTGCTCCTGGGAGCAAATCCTCCCATGTACCCCTGAGCTTCTCCCTGCTGGTAAGTTAATCTTCCCTCCTTGCCGTGTGCTGGTGGGATGGGCTGGGCTGATCCCGGGATGGCTCCAATCAGGGCTCTTTGCTCCTTGTTCCAGGAGCGAGAGGTTTCGGAGGAAGACGAAAGTCGCGCCACTTCCCCCGCCGGTGTTTGCGCGGGGACTGAGCTCGGGGCACCCCCTCCCCGGGCCGGGATGGAGGAATCGAAGGCGTTGGAGGTTCCTGGAGTTCGTGATGCTCTTTGGTTTGACCCCCCTTGGATGTTCCTGCCCTTTCTGCCTGGCTCGGTGGCGGCGGTGGCACGTTGGGCTTTGTAGCTGCTGGTGCCAGGTGGATGCTTAAGCTGGGCTTAAAATCACCACCCGTGGGATTTTGTGGTTGAAACCCCACTAAGGGCTCCTTTTTCCTCTTTAATTCCTTTTTTTTTTTTTCTTTGTCCTTTAACCTGTAGGGCTGAAGCTCCTCAGGAAGCGCGGGGGCTTGCCTGGCTTTGACAAACTCTACAAACCAACCCTTTGGCAGCGCAGAAATGCGGATCTAAATAAATAAATCCCTTGGGGGGAACCCTCGCACCCTCACAAATGGGCAGGCAGGGGGTAATGCCTCTCGGATGGGGTTTAGGAGCGGCTCCTGTGGGTTTTGCCCTCATCCAGTGCCATTCCCTGTTTTCCCGCTGCAGGTGACCAGCCACGATGAGAGCTCCGGCCCTCGCCTGATCCCTTTCCTGCTCATAAAAATGATCAACAAGTCTCGTGAGTCCCATCTCCCTCTGTCCAGGCAGGGATGGGGGGACTGGGGGATTTGCATGTGGAAATCTGGCTTTTGGGGGTTGGATGCTGCTTTGCTGCAGCTCCAGCTGGGTGATGGAGTGCTGGGGTATCACAGGCAAAGTCCTGGCAGGGAAGGTGGTTTTGGGGTCCTTGAACCTCCGGGTTCAGGCACCTGGAACTTTGTGGTATAAAAATGGGGTGAGGCACCCGGAAAGAGAGATGTTTGCCCAGCTGTTGACAGAAGGCGGAAACAGAAATGTCACTGTGGCTTTTGGAACCAGGACAAAATCACCTGGCTCTGTCTCACAACTGCTGCTCTTGGGAGCACGGTGTCAACCAAACCCCGGCCTCTCCCCATCCAAGCTCTGCTGGCCTGGATCTACTGGGACATCCCCAGAGGGCTGTGGGACCCCACATCCCATCATCCAAACCCCAGGGTACCGGCTTGACGGTGTTTTTTCTCTCCCCCTCCCCTCTGGGCACGCAGGAGGGAAGATACTCGGGGTGCTGGCGCTGTTTCTGGTGATGGTTTGGTACTCGATCTACCGGGAAGACAGGTACACACAGCTGTGAGTGCCTTTCATTCAAGTTTAAAGGACCTCCCGCCCTTTCCTTCACTCCCAGGAGGTGGCATCCTCCCTCCCGTCCTGCACAGGGATGCAGGAGCATGGTCTGGCTGGATCCCGGGGGAGCGGGGAGGTGGCAGCATCCTCGGCGGCTGCCGGAGGGTGGGGGCACGACACGAGGTTTCCTCCTCGGTGTGTGGTGGTGGTCGGGCTCTGCGGGGTTTTTGGTGAATGCCGGTGTTTTCCTGAGCCCGGGAGGATGGGAAAACCCCACTCTCCTCCCCGTGCCAGTGATGCTGAAGGAGATGGGGAAAGCAGAGAGGTCCATGAGCAAGGCAAGAGAGACCTCTTCCGATGCAAGGCTGCAAGCCCAGCAGATAAACATCCAAGGCAGTGCTGGCCTTAAATATCTCTGGCATGGCTTGAATCCAACGGTGGGGTGCTGGAACCCCCCTTTGCCAGAAGGGGGGTGCAGAGGAACGGGCATCATTTGATTTAATTAACCCCTTCCCTTACAGCTTTTATTTCCCCGTCCAAGAAAACAAGACGACGTGTCCCCTTGGGGAGGTGGAAAAGAAAGCGGCGCAGCTCATCGGGAAGTGAGTTTTGGGGCTGGGAGGAGGGAGTGAGGGGATGCAGAGCCAGGACTCCCCTCCCTGTGCCTCCCCCTCATCCCGGTCTCACCGACCCTTTGCTCCTCGGCAGCTACACGAGGGACCACCCGCTCTTCTTGCAGCTGAAGGACTATTTTTGGGTGAAGACACCGTCGCTCTACGAGCTGCCCTACGGCACCAAGGGAAGTGGTGAGTGCTGGCAGTGCTCCGTGGGTCTGTCTGTCTGTCTGTCCTGCTGCCGCTCCCCGGGGTTTCAGCTTCCCTCTGAAAAGCTGCTGCAGGTTGCTTTTTGGAGACTGTTCACCGCTCCCCAACAAGTTATTTGCTTGATTTTTAGACTCTGCAGCTGGTATCTCCTTGCTCTGGGTGTGTTTGGGCCCTCTAAAAGGGTTTTAGGGTGGGCCAGGCTTTACTAAAACCCAGCCATGGATTATCCACCCGGAGCTGGGATTAACGGCAGGAGGAAATCCAGCAGGGATGGGGCAGCACCCCGGGCCTTGTGCCAGGCAGGAGCTGCCTTCCTCACCTTCTGCTGGCCCTTGCTTTGCAGAAGACGTCCTCCTGCGCTTGCTGTCCATCACCCACTACTCCCTGCCCGAGAGCATCCAGAGGTAACACCGGGGTGGGTTTAGGGGCTTTTCTCTCTTTGTCTTTTTCTCGTGAGGGGTGGAATTCATCTGTTGTGGGCCCGGGATTTGGCAAAATGAACCTCTGCAACCCAGGGGTGGTGGATGGAGCGCGGGAAGGTTTGAAGACTGGGCAACGTGGGGTTAAACCCCCTCTGGGGGTTGAAACCACCCCGGTTTTGGAGCAGGTCTGGTTGAGACGGAGCTTTCTCTCGCAGCCTGAAGTGCCGGAGGTGTGCGGTGGTGGGCAACGGCCACCGGCTCCGCAACAGCTCCATGGGCGACACCATCAACACCTACGACGTGGTGATCAGGTACGGCCCTGGCTCCGTGCCACCGCTCCCTCCCCGGTGCCACCCGCGGCGGGGGCTGACCCCTGTGATGTCCCCGTGTCCCCCCACCCAAGGCTGAACAACGCCCCGGTCCATGGTTATGAGCAGGACGTGGGCTCCAAGACCACCATGCGCCTCTTCTACCCGGAGTCGGCCCACTTCGACCCCCGGACGGAGAACAACCCCGACACGCTGCTGGTGCTGGTGCCCTTCAAGCCCATGGACTTCCAGTGGATGGAGGCCATCCTCAACGACAAGAAGAGGGTGAGCGTGGTGGGGAAGCGAGTCCGACCCCTCGCTGGCTGCTCTGGAGTCCAGCCCTCATCCCATCCTACCCCTGGGGACATCTCTGTCCTCTTGCAGGTTCGGAAGGGGTTTTGGAAGCAGCCCCCGTTGATCTGGGATGCCAACCCGGAGCAAGTGCGCGTCCTGAACCCTTACTACATGGAAGTAACTGCTGCTAAAGTGCTCAACCTCCCCATGAAGCAACCACGGAAGGTCAAACAGGTAAGGGGTGGGGTCCCCCCTGCGCCCCCTGAGGGGGGAACAGCCTGTCCCTGTGCATCTCCCTGAAGGCTGTGGCTCTCTGCCCCTGTCCCCCAGAAGCCCACCACGGGGCTCTTGGCCATCACCCTGGCACTGCACTTCTGCGACCTGGTGCACATCGCGGGCTTTGGCTACCCCGACTCGGGCAACAAGAAGCAAACCATCCACTACTACGAACAGGTCACGCTCAAGTCCATGGCTGTAAGTGTCTGCCCCACAATTTTGTCCACGCTCCCCCCTCTTTTTCCCCTGGGATGGGGGATGGCATCCCAGGAGAGCAGTGCTGTGATGCTGAGTGATGTGGGAGCCTCCTCCCACGGAGACCTCTTGCTCCCCTCCCACGATGGGTGTTGAAGCCCACTGTTGGATGGTCACCATCCAACTTATCCCTCTAGCCCAGTGTCTTTGGAGGCGTGGAGAGCTGGATCCACCCCCGTGTGTTTACGTGTGAGGAGAAGGGCTCGTGGCCAGGGGGATTGGGTGGGGAGGGTTCTGTCCCTCTTTTTGGGGGGCTCAGCTCCCACTGGTGAGGTGGGCAAGCTGGAGGGCTGGGAGGGGCGAGAGGAAAGTGCGTGGCCCCTCGTCCCCGGTGTCACCCCCTGCTCCCC